GCCGGGGCGCCGGGAACTGCGGGGGCTGCTGGACGCCCAGACGCCGTGCGTCTGGATTTTCTTCGACAATGGGCCCCGACCTCTCGGCCACTTCCGCGGGACTTTTTTGTTCTTATATATATATATATATATATATATATACGTACATATATATAGATATATGTATAACTATACATATATAATAATAAAAACACAAAAAAACAACTAAATATAAACACACACACACACACAGAAACACACACATAGTTTTTCACGGTCCCGAGGCCCGGTACGGTCCCGAGAGGCCGAAAACGGTGAAAAAAACCCTGTCTCGATCGATCTCTTCGCCGCTCCAGATGTCTCGACCCTTCGCGCTGCTCTCGGGCCGCCTTCCAGCGCTCGGCGAGCGCCCTCGCCAGGTCGCCGAAGCCCGGCTTCGCCCCCGAGGCCGCGGCGAGCTCGGCCGAGACGCGGGCACGGTTCCGGCGCCGCGGTCGGCCTGGCCACCCTGAGGGCCGGAGGAGACCATCGGACCCGGACCCCATTTGGCCAGAAGCCTCCTGGACGGGGTTGGAGTAGGTGGGGTCGGAGGATCGCGCCGCACCGCGGATGCATCGGCGATGCATCGGCGATGCATCGGCGATGCATCGGCGATGCACTGGCGATGCGTCGTCGACGTGGGCGATGCATCGGCGACGCCAGCATGGAGAAAATCGGGCTCCGCATCGCGCCGCATCGCCGATGCATCGGCGATGCGGCGCGATCCTCCAACCCCATCTGTTCCGACCCCATCTAGGAGGCCTAGATTGGCTCATAAGAAAATCACGGCGGACGGCTTCTGACGGTTCTCGGCCTCCAGGGGCCCTGAGGGCCTCGGGGCCGTCGAAACAACCATTTCCCGGCGAAACGCCGACCCCGGGGAAGGGGTCCAGACCCCTGGGGCCCACGCCGGGACAGAAATCACGACGCCGGGAGTCCGGGGAGGAGGGCCGCTGAGCTCGGGGGGGTCGCCTCGTGCCCGAGCCTCGGGGGTGGGGGGGCGCGCCAACCAATACTGCCTGAACCGGGCAATGGTTCCAGCATCAAGGCAGATTGACGACACAGGCCGACCACTTTTACCCTGGCAGGCCTCGCAATGTCTCACTACTACTTTTACCACCTTAAGCCGTCGCCTGCACCTGGGAAACGGAATCTACAGAGGGGGTCTGGGTTCCGATGGGTTGATCATTGCAGGGGGGGGGGAGGGGGAGCGCTTCTAAGATCTATGGCCATTTCGGACTTCGGCGGAGGAATTCCGCCCCACTGCGGACCGCCGAATGCTAGATGCATTTCCGCACCTCACAAGTCAATTGCCGCATACATTGCAAACAGCCGCTTACCAACTGTATATGAGTATGTTGCTTTCTATTTCTTATTCACATGCACCTCGCAGCACACCTTCAGCTTCACAGCATGCCTTCACCTACGGTGAGAGTATCTAACCTGACACAACATATCAGGCTCACAGCTGCCTCGCATCCTTGTGGCTTAGACCCATCGGAGCCTACGCTGCTCACTCTACAAGCTAGCACTACTCAGCACAGTTTCTTGCTGGCGTACATCAGTTCCTCTTATTCGTTGCGCTTATACTCGTTCCTCTGTCCTCCTCACTCACAGCCGCACCGCCTAACCAGCGCATAATTTTGCCATTGGGCCTACATTCTTTATTAACCACATACCCACGATAATAATGTACTCCCCCCCTATACACATAAGAGTTGATTATCCACGGCCAATAAGAGTTTGGCCGGGGGCGCGGGGGCGCGGAGGCCGAACTTCATCATCACCGTGAAAAGTTCGCCATCGAGGTTATTTCCTTCTTATGGTGAGATAGCAACATCAAGCAACATGGCGACATCATCCTCATTGTTGAGGATGTCTCAAAGAGGACAAAAAGGCAAGGATGTTTCAAGATATCCTCGGCTTTGGCTCCTCTGTTAACATCTTTATGCTGGCCTCTGGTGGGCAACTTTTATTATCACACCGTAACCGCCGAACTGTATTCTCCCAGGGGGGTTATTCTCGGCTGTTCGTGGTTATTGTCTTTCAGGCGCTGCCACTTTTCTGCTGCGCTGAACACGCTTACTCTGTCGTGCTATGCCTAAGTCGGCAAGAACTTCTCGTCTCCTAGAACGTTACAGCCCATCGGCTCGACTTCGCGCAACGTCAAAAGGAGGAGGAGGAGGAGGAGGAGGAGGAGGAGGAGGAGGAGCAGGCGAAGGAGGGCGACGGCGACGGCGAGGAGGAGGAGGAGGAGGATAAGCTTGAGGAGGATGGTGGTGAGGAGGATGAGGAGGATCGTGGTTATCAGAGGAGGAAGAGGAAGAGAAAGAGGAGGAGGAGGAGGAGGAGGCTCAGGTCATTGAGCGCTCTTTGTCTTCCTGATGGCCTCTGGAGGCTACTTTTTCGGTCTTCCCTGTCTTCCCTGCTTCCTGCCCTCCCTCTCCAGAAAATTCTGGAGACTTCTGTAGGTTCCCACTGTAACTACCAGAGGACCCCGGAGGTCTCTGGAGGCACGCCGAGGCCTGAAACGTTCAGAAACCTCGATCCTCCTCCTCCTCCTGCTCTCCACCTCCTCGATCCTCGATCCTCAATCCTCTATCCTCGATCCTCGATCTTCGAACCTTGATCCGCCTCCTCCTCCTCCTCCTTCTCCTCCTCCTCCTCCTCCTCCCCCGCCTCGATCTTCGATCCTCCATCATCGATCCTCGAACCTCGATCCTCCTCCTTCTCCTCCTCCTCCTCCTCCTCCTCCTCCTCATATCCAGCCTCGACCCTCGATCCTCGATCCTCGATCCTCCATCATCGGTCCCCCCCCGCCTCGACCCTCGACCCTCGACCCTCCTTCTCCTCCTCCTCCTCCTCCTGCTGCTCCTCCTCCTCCTGCTGCTCGAGCCTCGAGCCTCGAGCCTCTATATCCTCCCGCTCCCCTGCAGGGGTGGCCAACCGACCGCGGCTTCTCGCCCGTCCACAGCGCGTAGGCCGATGGCGCGGCCTTTCGCTTCTGCTTCGCGTCGGGCCCGGCCGCGCCGGCAGACGGAACCGCCGCCGCGTCCGCGGGTGGCGGCGCGCCTGTCGAGCCCTCCTGCTCCTCTGGCTCCTCCTCCTCCTCCTGCTCCTCTGCTCCTCCTGCTGCTCCTGTTGCTCCTGCTGCTTGCTGCTGCTGCTGCGCTTCCCCCCTCCCTCCTCCTCTCCTCCTCCTCCTCCCTTTCTCCTCCTCCTCCCCCCTCCTCCTCTCTCCTCTCCTCCTCCTCCTCCTCCTCCTCTCCTCCTCTTTTCTCCTTCCTCCTCCTCCTCCTCCTCCCTCCTCCTCCTCCTTCTCTCCTCTCCCTCCTCCTCCTCCTCCTCTGCTCCTCCTCCTCCCTCTCTCCTCCTCCCCCTCTCCTCCTCCCCCTCCTCCGCCTCCTCCTTCTCCTCCTCCTCCTCCTCCTCCTCCTCCTCCTCCTCCTCCTCCTCCTGCTCCTCCTCCTCATCCTCCGACTCCTCCCTCGACTGGCTCAGCCTTCGGCGCTCGGTGCACCAGGAGCGCCAGGCCGCAGGGCGCGGCCACGCTGTGATGCGTGATGGGGCTGGTGCAGCATGAGGGGGCGGCTTCAGGGCCTCCTCGACGGGGTTGTCGGCACTCCCTCTGCTGCAGGCTGCCACGGAGGCGGCACGGCCGAGGCCGTCGACGGCGCCAGGCCTCTCCCAGAGGGCCTTACCGTTGCGGGGCTCGTCGAGCGCGCGGAGGAGCTGGAGGACGCGGTGCAGCAGTGCGGCCGCCAACAGCGCCAGGCTGCCGCCCAGGCGCGCCAGGCGTTGACCGACTTCGCCGCTGGCGCAATCGCTAAGGGAGGCAGGATGGCCCACCGCATCTCCGAAGGGCCCGCGGCGCCACCGCCTGTTTTTTCTACGAGATCGACGAGCAAGACGGTAGCGGGCTCCCCTTGTAAGACAGGCGGCCTTGGAGGCGGAGCTCAAGCAGTGGCTTCCCATCTGGAGGGAAGCATCGCGCATCGACGAGGGACATCTTGCTGACTGCGTCGTCGAGCGGGACCTCGACAGGATCACCACCGATGACGCGCGGCGCGCCGCTGCGTCGTTCCCTCTGGGGCGGCTCTGGAATGGGACCAGTTCCACCCCAGGCTGCTGCTGCAGTTGTCGCCCCCGCTGCTCGACAGGTGCACCGACCTCCTGAACGCATTCGAGGAGCACCCGAGCGCGGGCGGCCTCTGGCTGGTCGTGGTGGTCTCCCGGTGGAAGCCCACCGGGGGAGCGAGGCCAGCTGGTCGCACGCCGCTGGTCACGCGGGTGTGGAGCGAGGTGCGGCGGCGCTGGCGCGCGCAGTGGCAGGTGTAGCTGGACGTCTCGCTCTTCGGGGTTGCGAGCTCCCAGACGTCGTGCGAGAAGCCGGCGTACGTCCACAACGTCTTGTCGGCGTTCGCGGCGGCCTCGGGGATGCGCTCGGCCACTATCTTCGCGGACATGCCGCGCTCCTACGAGCACCTGGGGCACGAGGCCTTGAGGCACTCGGCGGCGCATGCAAAGTTCAGCTGCTGGTTGCTGCGGGCCCTGTTCTGCACCTGCCGCGGCAGAGCTGGCGCGGAGGCTGTGCGGGGAGTGGGAGCTCATCGTGGACCAGAGGTCCCACGTGCACCAGGACTGGGGCGGCGACGCCAAGGCGGGCAGGCTTGGACGCGTCGGCACCCAGCGAGGGCGACTCGTCGAGAGCCAGGCTCGCGCTGCCCGGCTGCAGCTGTCACGGCATGCTGGGGCGGCCGTGGGCGCTGTCCACTGTGCAGGGCCCAGCGCTGTGGGTCCGTGGGGCTCGGCCATGCACGGCGCCCCAACCGGCGGAGCGGAGGGCCGTGGGGCGATTGGCCCGCGGGGCCTCCCAGGGCCTCGCGATCCCCAGCTGGAGGGGCAGGCTGGAGGCGCGACCCGCTCGTTCTCGCGACATCGCTTGCGATCAATACCCACGCGGAAACGGTCTGGCAGGAGCTGTTCACGGAGGCGCTCCTGCATACCTTGCTGGATGGCGGGCGCGCGGTGGCGGCCGGGAGGGCTGCCCAGTCCAGGGTCAGAGACCCTGTCGCGGCGCTGGCGCTGGCTCTTTCGCGCAGCGGCTGGAGCCTCGACTCTCATTTCGTCGTCGTCGAAGGTCTTAGTCAGCAGAGGGGTGCTCGAGTTGTTTCGCCTGGATTCGTTTGAGGAGGTGAAGCACGCGTACAGAACAGCTTCGTGCGGCGTCTCCTGCATCCAAGAGAGCGGTCAAGGATCGGCCCAATCCTATGGAGGTCGCTCAACCAGTTGCTTTTCGCACCCCCCAGCCGAGGGTGGACGACCCACCACAAGCGGTCGCAGCGTGGCCTCTGCGAGCGCACTGGTGCCAGGCTCGGCTCGCGAAGGTGGGGGGTGGGCTGGGGGGGCTTCCGGATCTGTGCCGGTGCTGCCGAGGGGAGCCTGGCACGCTTCGTCGCAGGATTTCGGCGGGCCGCTGGGCCCGGAGGACCGACGATCTCGATGCTGCTCCGGCCGAGGTTGCCGCAGTTGTGCAGGAGGGCGCGGTCGGGCGTTGCCCAGCACCTCGTGCTGCTCGAGCAGGAACTCGGCCAGCGACAGGCCTCGTGCTGGACTGTGGGCGCGTGCTCGCAGGTGGCGCGCGCTTCGACGTCGAGGTGGCCGACCCTGCGGCCGGCTGGGTGGGGCCTCGTCGCATCCGATGCTCAATTGAGGCCCCTCGGGACTTCCATGGGGCGGTCCCACGCGATCTCTGCCCAGGACAGAGCGCGCGGGATGGCGAAGACCGTGACGTCATGATGGCGGCTCGGCATGTGCCCGGTAGGTGCACTGTGCATGCCGCTTGTCAAGGCACCGTCGACTGTGGGCTGAATTTAGCTCGCGCGCAGGGCGCGTCCGAAGCTCGAACGCACCTGTGGCAGCCTGCTGTCCCCCCGCTGGCCCGACGAGGCTGGCTGCACGTCTCGAAGCCCATGGTGCGTACGCGGCCACGCTCTTTTAGCCGCACCGGTGCTCGAGTGGACGCAACCAGCGCGAGGCTGTCAAGGTGCGAGTTTGCATGTGCTGATTTGCGCGCGTTGCTTCGGCCACGCCGCGTGTCCAAGGATCGGCCATGGTCTCACGTCAGAATGCTTGCCCAGGAGAGGTTTCACTCCCAAGGCCCAGAAAATACGCAGCAGAGCTGACTGAGGCGTTCATTCCCACCACGCCTGGCGCGCCCGCGTGGGCGAGTTGGCCGGGCCATCGCCGGGATTGCGCGCGCAGTGGAGGGGGCATTTCTCTGTGCCCGAGGCGAACCAGGCAACGAGGGTGCCTGACATTCGCCGCGAAGCCGTCGACCAGCCGATGCGGTGGGTAAACAAATACCCCCGATGGCCAGAATGTCAGCTTGTAATAAATAATTCCATGGGGGCGCGCGTAGCAAAACTAATTCCCCTGCTCGGGCGAATCGCGGGGTGGCGCCCGCCAGATTGAAAATCAACGGCGGCGGCGCTGGTGATTAGCGCCGACGCCCAACCGCCAGCGAGAAAACGACAGACAACACAGACTGGGGAGGGGAGGGGGGAGGCAAAGGCGGCAAAAGCAGGGACCGTCAGCTTGTTTGTCCAACCGATGCGGTTCCTCTGCCCTGGCCGCAGCCAGGGGTGCGCCAGCTCCCTCGCGGGCCCGCGAGAGCAAGGCGGGCTGGGCGATGGGGGGGCGTGGCCAAGCGGGGATTTGCACAGCAACTCGCATTGCTGATTCATCGAGCGCCCTCTGGCGCCGAAACCGGCCATGCATCGAGGACTGGCCCCTCGGCGGGGCGACCGAAACCACCTGCGTGTAGCATAATTCGCAACCCCGCCTTTCCTTCCCCAGTCTTTCGTCCGACCCGAGCAGGGCGGGCAGTCCTCCTCTCTCCCTCCGTCGTGGTCTCTGTAGTCTTCGACGACGACGGCCGCGACTACGACCGCGACGACGACGACGAAGACGAGGACGATGACGAGGAGGACGAAGACGAGGACGAGGACGACGGACGGCAGAGGGCGACGGAGACGGAAGGCGGCGACGACGACGACGCACTGTGGATGCACTAATGGGGGGCGGAGGTGCTCCGCAGGCCCGTTGCAGTCGACGGCGGCGACGACGACGAAAACGACGACGACGACGGCGACGGCGACGACGCACTGCGGATGCCCTGCGGGGGGGGGGGATGCGCAGCCCCGGCTCTAGTCGACGACGACGACGGATGACGGACGACGGACGGCGACGACGACGAAGACGGCGACGACGACGAAGAAGACGACGACGAAGAAGACGATGACGACCCACTGCGGATGCCCTATGGGGGGGGGGGGGCCGCGCAGGCCCGCTACGACGACGACGACGACGACAACGACTAAGACGACGACTCCTAAGAGGGGGGGAAGATCGCCTCGAATGTGTGCGACCCCTTCGTTTTGAGGCTGTTATGCAGGGGGGTGTACGATCCCCTCGACGGCGCCCGCGACGACCCCCTGGCGCGCGCGATTACATAGTGGTTCGCGCCCCGCGGGGTATATTCATCATCCCCAGGGGATGCGGGGGGGTTCACGCATTTGTTAATCCATTTTGGCTCAAGCGATTGTCTTTGTTTAGCTGCCCCCCAGGCCTCCCCTTGCTAGAAATAGATGAGCGCCATAGCTGCTGATGGCTCCTCCCTTGTGGCGGCGGCTATGCAGTCGCCGATCCGGGAGAACGCGCCGAGGCGCACTGTTGCTGCTGTGGCTGCTGCGGTTGCGGGCACTGTGATGCCTGCGGCTGCGCGGCCCTCTGCGCCAGCGACTCTGCACAAGGAGCGAGCTCAGGACGCACAGGGCAAAGCTGAAGCCTCCGATGATCCTGTTCAATTGTCGGAGAAACTTCGAGCTGTGTGCCAGCCCAACGTTTTCCACGTAAGAAGGGGACGCGCCGGGCTGCCAAGCAGGCGGCACATGATGGCCCGGCTCCTCCTCATCTTCCTGGTGGCCGTCAGCCTCGCGATGAGGCCGTACAACATCCATCAGGTGCAGCCGGCCTGCGCGCAGACCTCGGGGGAAGCCCTGCTGCCGAGCCCGCTCTGGTACCTGCTCTACGTCTGGGCGCTGCGTCGCCCTCGCCGTCTGGACGTACAATGTCTGATCGGCGCGCCGCTGGTGCAGCTCCGTCTTTTATGTCGGGCACCATGCCGCGAGCTGATCCAGCAGATGGCACGAGTACTCACACTTTGGGGAAATCTCTTGCAGCATCATCTGTGCCAGCCCCAGAAACTTCACAATCTCGGGCGGATCCGAAGGGCGCTTCGGCAGGGAAACCGTCCCTTAGCCGTGGTGAAGATGCCAGCGGTTTAAAAGCCAACTAGACTCAGCCTTACACGGGACAGAGAAGGAAATAGTTTGCTTTTTCCCCTATTTGCGCGGTGGTCAAATCCTGCCGCTGTCACATGTGTTCCGGTATTTCAATTGGGTGGCTGCATACTTGGAGCAATTCTGCACTCTTGTACTTCATGTTCTTGAGACAGAGCAACTTCTGAAGGGTGTCCTTTCTTACATCTTCGGCTTCTCGTTCCGCACGCGAGCCGATCTTAGGCCGCGATTGCTGCAACAGGCCTCAAGCAGCCTAACTCGTTTCGCTTTGTGGAGAACAGGTCGCCCCTGTTCAGTTTCCTTTTGCGCACTTGTCAATCACAAGCTGACATTCAGCGATGTCCTGTGGGCCTTCGGACTTCGCTCCAGCGCCAGGGCTGAGGATCTCGGGCTCGAGGCACACGCCCTCGATGCTGTCCGAGCTGGCGCCGATGCGCCTGGGGATGAGTGGTTTGAATCTGAGGCACCCTCTGGGGCATGAGGCCGGCCTCGGATGCGCGCTGGAGGCGCGTGCGCTGTGGACCCACCTCAACCCCTTCGGGCCTCCCTCGGGTGTCCCGTGTGAGGGTGGGGCGGGATCTCCTTCTCCTTCCTCCCCTCCCTCGGGGAGTCGTTTACCAACTCTTCTCTCCCTTTCTCACTCCTCGTGCTCCTCCTCCTGCTTCCCCCTCTTCCCTCCTCGTCCCTGTTCCTCCTCTTTGTTCCTCCCCCTCCTCGTCCCTCCTCCTCCTCCTGCTGCTCCTCCTGCTCCTCTTCCTCCCTCCCCCCTCCCGCTCTGCTCGCTCGCTCGCCCGGCGGGAGGGGTGAAGGGCAGGGGGGCGCTGCCTCCAGCGAGGAGGGGCAGAAGGTGGTGGAGGTGGGCGAGTCTGACTGAGATCAGGATCATCATCGGCGCCACGATCAGCACCGTCACCATCGCAATCGGCATCATCTTCATCGTCGTCATGGCAAGCTTTGCCATCATGAGCAATTATGGTGACGATGATGGCGATGCTGATTATGCGGATGATGACGGTGCTGATGAAGATGATGCTGGTGGTGATGATGCAGAGGATGATATTGGTGATGCTCATCATCATCACCATCGCCATCGCCATCATCATCACCATCATCATCGCCATCATCACCCTCATCATCATCATCATCATCATTAACATCATCATGATCACCGTATTCATGGACGTCGTCATCATCATATGACGTATACGATTGGCACATCATCACCATCATCCTCATACTCATCACCAGCATAGTCACCATCATCATAATCATCGCCATCACCATCATGATCATATTCATCACCACCAGCAGCAACAACATCAGCATCAGCATCAATGTCAGCATCACCATCGGCATCATCACCAACACTACCACCATCATCACCATACCCATCACCATACCCATCATCATCATCATCATCATCATCAGCATCACCATCATCACCATCACCATCACCATCACCATCACCATCACCACCATCATCATCATCATCATCATCATCATCATCATCATCATCATCATCATCATCGTCATCACCATCATCATCATCATCATCATCATCATCATCATCATCGTCATCGTCATCATCATCATCATCATCATTGCCATCATGTTCATCTTCATCATAATTATCAGTATCCGCCTCCTCATCATCATCATTAACACCATCAACATAATCCTCCTTCTCCTCATCATCAACAACGAAATACCATCGCCACCACTGCCACGACCGTCGTCATCAGCCATCAACGACATCGTCATCGTCGTTATCGGCGGTCGGCGTCGTACTCGTCGTCCTCCTCCTCCTCATCACCATCATCCTCTCCCCTCCACCTCCTCCTCCTCCTCCTCCTTTTCCTCCTCCTCCTCCTCCTTTTCCTCCTCCTCCTCCTCCCCCTCCTCCTCCCCCTACCCCTCCTCCTCCTCCTCCTTCTCCTCCTCTCTGCTTCACCATCCTCCCTCCCACGTGGACCTGCGACCAGCAGAGACGTCTTGCGGCGCTTGGCCAGCGGCTGGCTGGTAGCCTCAACCACCGTGTCGTTCTCGCGAGCCTGCGGCCCCTGGGCGGCCGCGTCCACCAACTCCTGCCAGACCGGGCAGGAGGGAGCAGAGGACGACGAGGTTGATGGGGGAAGGTAGAGGGAGGAGAGGGGGAGGGGGGAAAAGAGGAAGGAGGAGGGGCCGGGGAGGGTGAAGAGAGGGAAGGCGAGGGAGGGAGGTGGGGGGGGAAGACGGTAGGGAGGGACGGGAGGGAGGGCGGGAGAAAAGGATGGACGAACAGTGTGAGGGAGTAAGGGGGAAGGGGCGAGTGTGAACGAGAGGGAGGGAGGGCGGGAGGCATGGAGGGACGGAGGGAGGGAGGATGTCGCAGGTGCTGAGACGAAAGCTCCTCAAGCTCTGTAGGAGGTGACGAAATGAGTCGCAGAGATTCGGCCAACTCTGCGTACGAACTTGTGTGCGGACGCTCTCAGCCGGGACGGTACCAGGAGCTCCCCATGTGAGGTGAGCGAAGCGTGAGAGGCGAGCCAACATTGTGCGCGGTGTGCACACGCGGTGCTTCCAAACTAAACAGAATCGTGAGACCAAGTTGCGCGCGTATACAACTATGCAGGGTCAGACTAGCAAACACAAGGAGGGTGGGGCAACACATGCGTGACGGGGGGGCGCACCACTTCAGAACACAGTGATCTCATGTAGTAGAAGGCTGGTAAACAAACTTTGCGAGCAGCCCGGCTGCGTGCCGATTCCACCCTCGAGTAGGTAGTTTGAACGGGCCTCGCGCGAAGTCTCTTGTTCCGCTGCGCACTGCTTCTCTCATCTGGGGAAGGCGGGCACGCACTGCCCAAAGTCTCCGATCGACAACAAAACAAGCGAACCGCTGAAGACCACAACATGCTGATGCTGATGATGATGGTGATGATGGTGGTGATGGTTATGATGACGATGCCGATCATCAAGATGATGATGGTGGGAATGGGGTCGTAGAAAGACGGGCGGATCAGCCATAGCGAAAGATACATGCGACCGTCGAGGGAACGCTGCAATGCAGGTCGTAGGGCGAGAAGGCATGGCCCGCAACGCCTTAGAAGCGTGAGCAAGGCTCGTATACACCCCTTGGAGGAAGAGGAGGAGAAGAAAGAGGATGATGACGATGATGATGCTAATGATGATGATGCTGCTGCTGCTGATGATGATGATGAGGAGGAGGAGGAGGAGGATGAAGAGGAGGAGGAGAAGGAGGAAGAGATGGAGGAGGAGGAGGAGGAGGAGGAGGAGGAGGAGGGAGGAGGAGGAGGAGGAGGAGGAGGAGGAGTAGGAGCAGGAGTAGGAGTAAGAGGAGTAGGAGGAGGAAGAGGCGGAGGAGGAGGAGTAGAAGTAGGAGGAGGAGGAGGAGGAGGAGGAGGAGGAGGAGGAGGAGGAGCAGGAAGAGGAGGAGGCGCAGGAGGAGCAGGAGCAGCAGCAGGAGCAGGGCGGTGTCTGTACACCCTCCGAGCGGAGGCGCAGCGCGGTGGGCCGCCGCTCTTCGCGCCGCCCTCGCGCCTCGGCGGGGAAGCGGGGGCTGCCCTCCGGCCAAGGGGCCGCGACGCGCCGGGCGCCGCCGGCTCCGCGCCCCCCCGCGGGAGGCCCAGGCGGAGGAGGCCACCCGCGGGGGCGAGGGGCAGCGACAGAGTCGAGCAGGCTGGTGTGAGGAGGCGCGAGAAAGATGCAGGGGCCTTGGGCGCCCATGTCGAAGCTTTTCTCGAGCGGGGCGCGGCCAGCGAAAGCGGCGAAGGGAGCCAGGGAAAGCGGCGAAAGCGGGAGTGAGGGGCAGCGATGGGGTTATGTTGCCCCCATCGTACTTAAGGACTGCATCCCAGAAATAATCTCGAGCACCCGGAGAAGTGTCGAAGGAGTGTCGAAAGAGTGTCGAAACAGTGTCGAAACGAGTGTCTCCCAGGGCCCGACACGTGAGAACCTTCGAATTTCGGTGCCTTTTGGGTGCTCGAAATTCGTCCTCGCGATCAAGGCTAAAGTAGGTTGGAACATCATAACGATAGGGGGGGCGTCTGGGGGGAAACATCGACCCGGAATCGGCGATACGTCGCCGATAGATCGGCGGTGGGCCCCCGATCGTGAATCCACATGGGCCTGGGCAGGTCGGGGCTACCGGGCCCCTATCGGGGACGAGTGGACGACTGGGGGTCGATGCGCCCCCCCTATGAACGCCGGCGGCGGGATCGCCGCCGGTCGACGCGACGCCAACCTACCGTACACGCAGGAGTGACATTAGGCAAGAGTGAGCTTTGGTGCGTGGCTTTTGAGGGGGGGGGCGCGGGAGGGCCAAACCCAAGTGCGAAGGTCGCTGCTGCCGCATCGCAGGCAGCAGTCGGCGGACCCACATGGGCCCGCACAAGAGGTCACTCCAGCGAAGGGTCGCTCCTACGTGTAGTCGACCAGTCTCCTGTGCCGTCGCCTTGATCTCGTCTCGCCGGGCGTCGAAGGCGCCCACGACCAGGCCGAACCGTGCCTCGAGGCTGCGCCGGAGCGTCTTCAGGGAGACGCTCGCCAAGTCTCGGCCCTCGAGCTCCGCGATCACCGCCGACCTCTCGGCGGACTGTCAGCCCTGCTCCTCCTCCTCTCTTCCTCTTCCTTATCCAACTCCTCCCCCCCCCTCTCACTCCTCTTGCTCCTGCTCCCCCTCCTCACGCCTCCTCGTCCTCCTCCTCCTCCTCCTCAATTTTACGTTAAACAAGCCGTACGTAGTACCTTTGGCATTATCCTCCTCCTCCTCCTCCTCCTCCTCCTCCTCCTCCTCCTCCTCCTCCTCCTGCTCCTCCCTCCTCCTTCCTCCTCCGCCTCCTCCTCCTCCTCCTCCTCCTCCCTCCTCCTCCTCCTCCTCCTCCTCTTCCTCCTCCTTCCTCCTCCGCCCTCCTCCTCCTCCTCCTCCTCCTCACTCCTCCTCCTCCCCCTCCCCCTCCCCCTCCTCCTCCTCCCCTTCTCCTCCTCCTCCTCCTCCTCCTCCTCCTCTCCCTTCTCCCTCACTCCTCCTCTCCCTCCCTCGCTCCCTCTCTCCCTCCCTCACGCACTCACTCACTCACTCACTCACTACTCACTCCTTCCTCCTCCTCCTCCTCCTCCTCCTCCTCCTCCTCGTCCCCCTTCTCCTCCTCCTCCTCCTCCTCCTCCTCCTCCTCGTATTCCCCCCCCATGCTCGTAGACTCCTCCCTCGCGCCCCCCCCTTTGGGTCCAACTGCATCCGTTTTTCGTGCTGCGTCATACAGCGGCCACGAGGAGGGCCTCCGCAGGCCAGAAAGCCTCGAGCCTCGAGGCTAGAACCTCGACGCGAGTCCCCACTCTCACCCTCCCCCCTCCACCTACGCGGGGGGGCCCGAGCAAGAACACTCTCGCCGCGGTGGCCCCCGCAGCGTCGGCAGGTTCGCCGTGCCCCGCTGGAACGGCCGGGGGCGGCAGGGGCAGGAGCAGGAGAGGGGTCGAAGGAGCAGCAGGGGGAGTGGCAGGGGTGCCAGGTAGGAAGAGGAACTTGAGCAGAGAAAACAAAGGGGGACGACGACGACGACGACGACGACGACGACGACGACGACGACGACGACGACGACGACGACGACAACGACTGACGACGACGACGACGACGACGTCAACGACGACGACGACGACGACGACGACGACGACGACGACGACGACGACGACGACGACGACGACGGTGACGACGACGACGACGACGTCGACGGCGGCGGCGGCGTGGTGCGACCAGGGAGGGTAGGGGGAGCAGAGACAGGCGCGGGCAAAAAATAAGAAAGGAGGGAGGGGGCATGGACGAGGGAGGGGAGGTGCAGAGACCGGAGGAGGGGAGGAGGAGTGGGGCAGCAGAGTGGACGGAGCAAAGGAGGAAGAGGGAGGAGGAAGGAAGGGTCGAAGGGTCGAAGGTGCATGAACAGAATCCACCTCACCACCTCGGCGGCGAAAAGAAACTACCCTCCCCGAAGGGCGGGAGCGGCGACGAGGAATCCGAGGGCCCCACCAACCGTTGCAAAGGGGGGGGAAGGCCGTGGCCGAAGCCCCACCACCCCCGCGGGGACGGAGACCAACGGGCAACCGAACGCAACCACCAGGGCCGCCCCAGGACCCCGCGGCCCGAAAATGGTGCCGCCCCCCAGGTCGCCCGAACTACCGCACACTCAACCCTGGAATCTACTGGTTCATGCGCTGCCGTTCTCTTTTCCACCCACTTGGCCCAAGGCGAGCCAGGGCCGAAACTGGAGCGCAGCCATCTGCGGCCCTCCGCTGCCTCCACGTCCGAAGGCCTGGGAGTGGCAGGCTCCTCCTGCCGCTGCTGCTGCTGCTGCTCCTCCTCCTCTTCCTCCTCGTCGGCCTGCTATCCTGGTCGCCAGAGGCCACGGTCGGCCGCGAGCGAAGTGACGTCGATGCGCGATGCGCCTGGTAGCCACGATGCACCCACGCGCCGCGGTACCGTCGCTCCCCCGTGTCGTCCACGAGTGCCCCACCTGCTCCTCCTCCTCCTCCTCCTCCTCTTCCTCCTCCTCCTCCTCCTCCTCCTCCTCTCGGCAACGGCGCTCAGTGCTCTGCTGGCGACGTGCTGCACGGTCGGCGCCCCACACCGCCTGCAAGGCGTCCAGCTCCTCGGCCACAGAGCCGCCACTGGGCCAGTCACGGGCGGCTCGCGCCGCGACCACCCGCGACCAGGCCTCCTGGCTGACGATGTCTTTTTGTATGTTTCAAGCATGGTTAACCCATGTTTTAGGCACCTGGAATTTATTTGGCAATGTGCTTCCTCTCCATGGATCGTCCTCTACAACCATGGGCACGGAGTCGGCATGCTGCTGGAAGCCTAGCTCCTGGGCCTCCTCGTCATCAGCGGCCTCCGTGGGCACCCCGTCGGCCTGCACCTCCTCCTCCTCGTGGGCGCCGCCGCCCGGCCCAGCGTCCGCCACCTGGGCCCTCGCCGCAAGCGACGGACCCGCTCCCAAACTCCAACTTGCTTCCGTACCGCTCGACGTCCGCGGGCATGTCCCGCTACAGGCGGATCTTGGATCAAAAATCAAAAAAAAAACTCCAAACATATTCAAAATTATGATATACCGTCCCCATACCATTCTTTGACTGTTTTGGAATACTCCCGCTGTAGAGGGACAGGCCCGATTTAAAGCTTGCTGCCATTCGCTCTGCCCTCCACGAAATGCGCCTGGACGGTGTGCGGCACCGCGTGCGCCTGCAGCCGTCTCGCGCTCTTCTGCTTCAGCGCCGCTCTCGAAGCCGGCGCCGCCGATGTCGGCCGTGCCCCCGAACTCCAGCTCGACGTCCGCCTCGTAGTCCTCGCCGAAGATGCCGCCCCCGCCCCCGAACACCAACTCGCTGCCGTCGGCGCTGCCCTCACCAAGTGCGCAACGCCTTGACGATGCGCGGCGCCCTCGGCACGCCCACCGTCGTCCCAAATTTCCCCGGCCCGGAGCCCCTCTCGAGGCCCACGCCGTCGATGTCGACCCCACTCACGGAATCCAGCATGTCCTTGCTCGCGCTGCCAACCGAGAGCTGCGCCCTCTCGGTGCGCAGCACCGTCGGCAACTCCACCGTTGTCTCGACCTCGTCACGCTCGGAATCCGCCTCGAAGCCCGCGCCGCCGACGCCGACGCCGCTACCGACATCCAACTAGATAATTTTCTCCTCATCGCTGAGGCCCACATAGGCCCACGGCGCTCGGCACCACAGCGAGCGGCGCCTCGAAACCGTCGAAACGCTGCACCGTTGTCGCATCCGTCGCCGGCAGAGCGGGGACGGGGGGGAAACTCGCCGCACTCCTGCACCATCGACCCGCCCGTGCCCCCGCCGCACTTATGGCTGGTCGGGAGGTCCCCGATGAAAACCTCGACCACTGGGCCTGGCCCATCGGCTCCTCCCGGGACCTCTCGCTCGCCCGCCGCTGCGCCAGCGCAGAACCTGGCCACCATCGCGTCCACGACAGTTGTACGAACATGCTTCGAGCTCCACGTTTCCGCGGCCGATGATGCAGAGCGGCTCACCTGGAGCGGGGTATCAGATCAAGGGAATTTGGGGCGCCGCCTAGAATGTGGGCACCGCCTGGAATGTGGGCGCCTGGTGATGGAGAAGGTAGCTTTCGGAAGGCTCCGCGGCCAGTGATGGAGAAGGTAGCCTTCGGAAGGCTACCATCTCCATCGTCTCGTCGCCGCCCGCGCTCACAGCCCAGACGTGGTTCCCCGCAGGCGAGCCGCTTTGTTTGGAGTGCGCCTGCGGAAGCTCGGCGGGGTCCCTCCGACAGAGCAAGATCGGCTCGAGCCAGAACGGCTAACGGAGGAGGAAGGGAGAAGAGAGAGGTAGGAAGGAGGGGCGGAGGGAGGGGATGGGGAGGACGGCGACAACCAAGACGACGAAAGCAAGGAAGACGAGGAGAGCGATGACGAGCATGGCGAGGAAAGCGGGTAGGAAGTGGGTCAGGAAGAGAAGGATGAGGAGAGAGGGGGAGGAGGAGGAGGAGGAGCAGGAGGAGGGGGAGGAGGAGGAGTGAGGAGGAGGAAGACGTGCGAGGAGGAGGAAGAGGAAGAGGAAGAAGAGGAGGAGGAGGAGGAGGAGGAGGAGCAGGAGGAGGAGGAGCAGGAGGAACGCACGGGCCTCACACTGCCGCCGTTGCAGTAGAGCTCTGATGGTGGCACTGCGGCTTGCCAACGCTCGCGCACGTGCCCTGAAACGAATGATGCGGCATTCAGGTCTATAGCGGTCTTGGGGCCGAACCGTGATATAATAAGCTGACAACATACCACGCACAAGGAGAGCCGAGAGCATTTGGTGACTGTCCAGGGGGGCCTAAAAGCGCAAAGCATATGCTCGAATCAGATCCAGGAGCAATACATCTGGAGGCATACGAGGCAAAACGTCACGCTGGCACTCAGAGCAGCAGGACATTGGAGATAGTGATCAGCAACACCACCGAATAGGGTCTTGCAACCGAAACGGCGCGACATGGTCCCTTGTCGAGCCCTCTGGTAATAGGCCAGGCGTTACCGACCGTCGCGAGGAAGGAGACGGCCGCGAAATGGCCAGCCTTGTGAACGAGGATGTGGATGGACCTGAAAACCCAGTCGGAGAACGCGCCGAGGGCCTCGGACCAAAATGCCTGATGCGGGGCCCCAGGCGCAGGGACACAGGAGGGACCTCGCGCCTGGACCTCAAGATGCGAGGCACTTTCCTCTGAACGTCATTTGCATCTTCGTCGGCATGATGTGGAGCTATGTTGGGCAGCCTATGATAATTATGATTCCACGTGAAGGTTGCCTATTCGTTCTCTTTCCATGCATTGTTACTAGGGGCAGCGAACACGTCGGCATCGTACTGCTGAGCGCGATGGAACCTCACAGTGATGCCAGAGAATGCAGAGCTCTGGACGACAGCGCGATGAGCAGCAGCTGTTTTTTCGCGACTACTGTCCCTGGGCGCTGCGTCGATCTCCAACTGATCTAGATGCTTGATGGGGGTCGTGGAAACAGCGCGTCTGGGAGAAGCAGTCAATCTTTGAATTACAGAGTGCTCGGCCACCGCGGCCCGCTCGCCAATGGCGCGCAACTCGCTGACAGGAGAGAGCACAGGTGAAGCAGGCAGGTCGCAGGCGCGATGTTCTGCGCCGCGGAACTTTTGAAAGAGCGAATGCGTGCACCGCGTTCGAGCAACTTCTTGCGAGGGCCGCTCCGCGAGGTGCCCGGGCCATCTCTGCCAAGATAGATGCCGTAACATGTGGCGCAGGGTCCAACGCGAGACTCAGCAACGGCGATGCCCGTGGCAATGGGCCTGCCAGTGACAGAAATTGGGCCACCGTCTTTGGCAATTACAATCCCAAACTTGCGAAAATTTATTTTCCGTCCCGCGATCGGGCTGGCCCCCTGGGTCCAATCCAAGGCAGCCGGGGTGAACTTCGCGAGGCTCCCAGCGGCAATGGTGGTGCCATCGGCGCGTGCGAGCGGGCGAATAGGGCGCGCGTCCAGCCGGCACCGCAGCGCCCCCGCGACTGGGTCAAATGCGGGAACGAACATGTCAAAGCCGAGTGCGGGCACCCCGGCTCCATCCCTCGAGCGAAGCGAAGGCTGGGGGGGCTTGGGCCACGAGAGGCGGCGGAGACGCGCGCGCGCGAAAAGCTTACTGGCCGGCCCCGCGACGCGAGGGGGCGCGCCTGTGCGCGCGTGGGCGCGGGGGGGTCCGGCGGCGCAAGACGCTCGGGGAAGCCGGATCGATGCCCGGGAAGGCCCTGCCAGAGGACTCGAGGGCGCAAGAGCACGCCCGCGTCGCGACCCAGGGCCGGAGCTCGGCGACGCTGCCGAGGAGGGCACGGCCCCCGATGAGCCCGCGGTGGCAGGAGGCGATCGAGCGCTGCGCCTGGACCTGAAGGGGGCGGCGAGAGCCGCGGGAATGTGCGCGTCATTCGTATGCATAAATATTGTGAGGGTGGGCGCGCGGGTTTGCTCGGGGCCGACCTTGGGCCTGGCCTTGGGCCTTGACCTTGGGGGGGCGGGGGCTGGCCGCTCCGAAGAGCAGAGTGGGCGAGGAACAAGGCATGCTGGACAGTGGGGCCTCCTTTCTGCCGCCCGCTGTAGGGGATGCCGCCGGGCCCCGCCGACCTGAACTCAAACTCCTCGAGCTCCCGCTGGGCGCGCGGAGAGACGCGCTGAAACCCTCGAGCCAGATCAGCAAAGAGACGAGGATCAGGAAGGGGCATGTCGTCAAGTCACAGATGCACCACAACCCAATGCGTCGCTAGCTTCTCAGCCGGCTTCGCGATCGCAGGGAGGTGCGGAATCGAGAGGACCGCCGACTGCATGCGTGGTCAATTTCCGTCTCTTGAGCGACTTTGATCTCGCGGGTGCCCGCGTGCAGCCCTGTCGCGAAATATCCGTGTGCTCTCCTGTGGCCGCGCGCGCGAAATGGGGCGCGCGCGGGGGCGTGTCGGCGCTGAGGCCTCTGAATAGCTCGTGAACCGCCTCGCGCTCCGTGTAGAACATGGCGTGCAAGTTGCAATAAATGCTAAGTAATGTGAATAGAAAGGCGCTATCGGAGGGGGGCGGGTCTGCGCGCGCGAGCAGCGCGCGTGAATCCCCCGGCCAGACCGCTATCTTTCCCCCTCGTCCGTCGGCCCACAGCCCTGCGAACGAACTGAACGCGAACTGGTGGACGGTCCGAACGTCCGCGTCAGTCTTGAGCGAGCCGGTTCACGTTCGCGCGGGCATGCCAGTCCAACGCCTCGGCAGTCGGCGCAGCCCAATGAACGCGGTCAAGGCGGCAGACGGACGGTGCAACATCGCCGATGCGAGTCTCGCGGGCAGGTTCTTCCTGGGGGGCCACCTCGCAATTGCAGGAAGGTCTGGCGGGACTGGCTGGGCGGAGGTGTCCTCGAGGGGGGGGGGGGGGGGGCGCGATGCTGCCGTCGATCGCTTGCCAATGCTCGTCAGCTTCTGGGGATTTCCAATCGCCTCCAGGACGTGCGGGGCCGCGGCAACGAAGGGTAATGATGCGCCTTGGCCGGCGCGGAGCACGGCGCGCAGCGCCGGCGGACATCAGCGAGGCCAGACGTGCACTGCTAGGGCGGGGTGTCCAGGAAGGGCGCAAAAACCAACCGTGAGAACGCGTCCGCCGGCAACTTCAAGATGCGGAGAGCGGGGGACCTCAAGCAACAGCGCCGCTCCGAAATCATTGCGACGACGCCGCCCTCCTTCGGCGGGCTGCGTAGAGCATGAAGCTACCAAGATGAGTGCGAGAGGGGATGTCGCGCCTCGAAGCCTCGAAGTAATCGCGCGTGCCATGCGTCCCCTGCGTGGCAGCGCGTTTCTCGACGAGGCCCCAGAACCTGGCGCGCTCGCGACGCTGGCGCCGGCGATTTGCGCGGGCGCCATCTAGCGGGGCCTGCGAATTCCAGGGCGCCGCCCCGAAGCTCTCAGTCGAAGGAAAGGGGCTCCCGCGAATGCTATACTCGATGTTTCAAACTAAGCAGCGAGCGAGAACGCGACGAACCGCGCGCAGGAGGAGGAGGAGGAAGAGGACGAGAAAGAGGATGCGAGAAGAAGGCTGCACAATCTCGCCATTCACTGCGCGTCCCCCGCGTCGGGCTGGCCCCTGACGCCGTGCGATAGCGTGGAACGCTCCAATCGTGCGAGCAACCGGAGAATTGCGCTGATCCGTATCCATCGCCACTGTCTCCTAGCGCTGACGAGACATGAGGTTGGCCACGCTCTCGGCCAGGGCATCGATGAAGGACTGCGGGGAACCGACGGTGGGCACGATAAGGCTGTGGCGACATGCAGAAAGTCCCTACCTCGCTCTCATGCCCTGAGATCTTCACCAAGTCCCAAGCGTCGTCGGTCGCCGCGTTGGGAAGGTGGAGGATGCCAGAGAACGGTTCGAGCCAAGCCTGAGGCTGTGGAGCCAGAGGCTCTTGGACTTCATCTCGTCATGCGCGATCTGCTAGCGCTGACCAAGAGCGGAAGAACAATGCCTAACCGGAAGAGGTCGAGTCCACCCGGCCCCCAACGGCACCGCATCGGCGTTCCTGGGATCCGTCCAGGTCGAGAGTGGGATCGGCGCGAGTTGCGGCATGGACAAGCTGGGCATCATCCTCCCTCTCGAGCTGAATATTGCAGCTGAATATGCAATTCTGCACCTCAAGCTTGCATTGGCTCGCGTACTCGGTGGCCATCTTCGCTTTGATGACCGACAAATGATTCTGAAAAGTCGTGGCCATCAGCTTCCGCGGGAAGCCTCTGATCCAGATCTTCTTCTTGTTGCGTCCCTCCTCGTGCTGCGGGCCATGAGACACTGCGAAGAGGCCCGCGAGGCCTTGATGGCGTGAGCGTAGACCATGGATCGCTACGCGAAGAAGCCCCGCCACCACTGCCCGCCGACGAAATACCCCTGGTACTCGGCGCCGCCTCCAGATTCTCCACGCGCGCTGCAAGAGCGGCATCCACCACTCAGTGAACCTGGGATCGAGAATTGCCACCTGCGCCGTGGAGGTCGTCCTCAGCGTCCATGCCGTCGACGTCCACTGGTCGAGAACCGAACGCGTTTTTCATCTCGATAGATGCCGTGCGAGCCACGTTTGCATCAAACTCAGCACGCAGGGGTGCCACATCATTTGCCATGTTGTCCGTCCTTGTCGAGACGCGATCGTCAAGCCTCCTGATGTTCATCATGTTCACAGACCATATGCCCCATCGAACTGATCTAAAAATGCATGGGCTGGCACTCGGCATCTAGCTTCTCCATGGCGGCTGCATCGGGCGACGTGATGAAATCAACATGTGGCACCAGAGCAAAGCGCGTACAACGCGTACTGGCGTCCCAACAATTTGCGAAACGAGAGAATCGGGAAGAGGAGGAGGGGGTGGGGGAGGACGAGGAGGAGGAGGATAAGAATGAGGAGAAGGAGGAGGAGGATGAGGAGGAGGAGGAGGAGGAGGATGAGGAGGAGGACGAGCGCGCACACCCATCGAGCCACTTCGCTCGGTCGGCCCGCCCCGCGAGGAACGCAAGCGGCCAGACCTCAGCGCCTGTGCGGTGGGCGGCGCTGGGGGTTTCGGCGGCCCCTCCTCCTCGTCCGACAGGTCCACGACGTCGACGTCGATCGGCGCCGCCATCCGGCGGTTCGAACGGGGCCGCGGCGTGCCGAGAGGCGGCAGAGCGGACTTTGAGCGCGAGCGGCCAACTCGCGCTCCACGGAGACCGTTGGTCCTGCTCTTTCCACTCCCTTGTGCGCGGCGGGGCCGGTGAGGGGGTAGGAGGCACGGGCAGGAGAGATAGCAGGAGGAACCACGCTGCCAACCAAACGCGCGTCGCCTCGAGGCGGCTCCGGAAGTCTGCCAAGGCTTAGGCAACGGCCCATGGGCGACCGATCACCATCATCATCATTATCATCACCACCATCATAATCAACATCATCATCACTATCACTATCATCACCACCACCACCGTCATCGTCACCTTTAACACTGTTACCAACATCATGATAGTCATCATCACCAGCACCATCACTACAATCGACATCATCAACCTCATCAACAACATCAACATCATCATCACACTCAGCCATCATCATCGCCATCATCTTCATCACCGCAGTCACCATCGCCACCATCATCGTCGCCAGCATCATCAGCGTAATCAGTAGCACCATCAGCATCATCACCATCACCACCATCATCATCATCATCATCCTCATCCTCATCCTCATCCTCATCGTCATCACCACCACCATTATAATTACCACCACCATCATCAAATATACATGCATCATCACCACCACCATCATCATGACCACCACAACCATCATCATCAGTATCACCATGGTGATAGCATGGTGAGCACAAACATCATGTCGGCTACCGGATCCTGGAGGCAATCTGTCTCGAAGTGGGGCTGCTCGAGATTGTGTTGCGGCCTGGCGCCCATCCTGTCAACGCCTGACCCCAGCATTTGGAGCCGTTTTATTCAAGGGGCCCGTGCTGACAGATCCTCATTATCATTCACTGCGCCCCTTTACGCCCGCCCCATCTGGTCTTCGCCTGGCCCCACCTCAAGAAATTTCGTGCACGCGTCCCCGCAAAAGCGGCCTCATGCCGATCGGGCTGGTGCTGCTCGTCGCGTATCCGGAGGACCCGCTGGTTCAAACACGGCTCGTAATGACAATACGTGTAGTGTGTTTCGACATGATTAAAATCTGACTGATATTGATTATTGGGCCCCTCCCGGCCACCGTCCTGACAAGTTGTTCGTGGCGCGCCAAGTGAAGCGACGATGGTACCCCCGCAAAGCGGGAAACGAACCTCTAAAAAGGTAAACGCGAAAGCTAGAAAACTGCAAAAAAGGTCGCGTACGGTACGTGGAGAGCCGCGTGTGAGGCCAGAGCCCGTTGCAAGAGCAGCCCTCGCATCCCCATCTCGGTCCAGTCGCATGGCATCCCGACCATCAGCCTTCTCCTCCTCCTCCTCCTTTTCCTCCTCACCGTCTTAATCTCCCTTCGTCACTCCCTCCCTGCCTCGCCCCCTCAAACACATGCGGCTCAAGGCGCTCCGCATGCATGTGGGCTCATCCAGAGCCTTGTGTCGCGCCCTGCGTCTTCACGTCGGCGCATGGAAGGAATCGGATCAGCGGCACCTCTAGTATCAGCCGTTTCGGGAAGCAAGCAAGAGCGAATTAACTTTACAATCGATTGGAATTCTGGTGATTTCCAACGAATTCTGGTGATTTCCTGGACGCGCTGATCGACATCCGTCCAAGGGGTCGGGGTGGCTTCATCTACCATCCCCTGGGCGTGCCTGTTTCCTTCTGTTGGCTGAGTTCTGGTGCTTTCCTGAACGCGCTGTTCGGCATCCGTCCGAGAGGTTGGGGTGGCTTCAACTACGATCACCTGGGCTTGCGCTTGCATTGTTCCTGGCTTTCCAAGTTGGCCAGGTGAATTTTAAGACGCCATGGTGGCGGGCGCTGCGACAAATCTTGCACCGTCACCGCGTACATTGCGGGATGCGGTGGGTGCAATTATTGAGTTGAACCAGGTCTTGCATTTTGGGGAAAGAGTTTTTTTGTTGAAAACGTTTTCTGAACGACAATGTCACGAAGGCCTTCTATACCATCATTGAATGTATCGCCCTTTTACTCAGAATTATGGGAATCACATACAATCGGATGGGCGCACCAATACACATGCGAACCTTGCGCAGCTGGCCGAATGACGCAATGCATTACTTCGCCGCTCGTCTTGCAGGGACGGGGTCTTCGAATGTGGGTCTTCGAATGCTTACCTTCTGTGCCGGTCAATTCCAGGGGGTGGCAATCTGATTTGTGATGACGTATGCTGCTATTACTTTTCCTGCTCCTATTCCCTGCCTCGCCCCCTCGCTCTCTTGCGGTTTCCCCCTCTCTTTTCTGATTGCCCACGTACGCACGCGTAGAAGACCAAACTACGATCTGCCACTAACGCGTCTGTGTCTGGAACAGATCTGCCACATCGCGTGTGCCACTCGCCGCCAGAAATCAGCTGAAGGGATTTTTTGCACTGTCCCTTCACTGCCTTCTACCTCCGGGCTGTAGTTGCCACCTGCTAATGCTGTCTTCAAGGTTTGAACGGTCTGCGCGTTTACCAACGCGCTTGCGATGCTTCCACATATGTTTTGACACTGCAATCGCCTCCTGCCTGCGTGCAACCGACTTCTCGCTTGCCTTTCACTTGAAGACGTGGCTGTTGGTCGTTACGCATGAGGCTTAGGATCGCGTATGTATTGTGATGTTGGGTAGCCCCGTCTCGTTGGCACTCGCACCGGTGGGATTCGCAAACTATGCACCTCTCAACTGAAACACACGGCAGCGGGGTCCGGCTCGGTCCGTCCGACTCGTGCTTGCATCACACTTTCCAATCTGGCTGCGGACCCGCGCAGTGCGTCCCACTCACCACGAGGACGCCTTCGCTCCCGCAGGGTAGGTAGGGTGAGCTGCCGGCAGGGGTGCAAGGAAGGGGGCCATGCACCGCGGAGAAGAGGGAGGTGAGGAAGGCTATGTGAAGGGGCCCTGGGACACACAAACAAAGACACACACATAAAAGGATGCCCCATGTTTTCCTGTATTTTCTGGGGAATCGACGATTAATGGTGTCTGCATTTTGTTTCTCCTCCTGGCTATGGGCAGGTGTGGGGTGGCCTAGGAGGGTTGACAGCCAGGAGCGAGGGGAGAAGACCCACGCAGACAACGGGACAAGCATTGGCACACGCACAAGCAGGCATAAGATTCGGCCCCGCCCCCCTCCCAGAGGGCAGAACATCCACCCCGATAGTAACCACCCCGGCACGCGAGGCCGTTTAGTAAACGCACCCAGAGAAGGAATCAGACAGGGTAGGGCTGTCTAGTAAACGCCCAGGGCCGTTTAGTAAACGCCAATTGTCGGGTCCGGGTGTTTTTTTTCCCTTGACCTCCCCGAGTTTCCACCAGCTAGCACCTTCCCCTCTCGCTGACAGGAATTTCCGGAGCGACCGTAACGCTGATGAAGAGGAACCCCTGTCGATCGTCCTCTTTGCGAAGCCACGGGGGACGGACGAGCTGGATCCGAGATTGGCAAGCGAAGACGAGCTCCAAGGCCTCAACCTGAACCGCAGAGGCAGAGTAAGGCGACTCTGGAAAAAGTGTCATACCACGTGCCTGCGCCTGACGCGAACAGTGATCCCGACACGCCTTGCCAAGATATGACGCAGGCGGAGAAAACGGATGGACGAGGGCAGAGAATAATGATACGGGATGTTTTGCCCAGAAGCGCACACTTCCGGCTGTTAGTCAGCGATCGCGGCCCCGCCCGATAGTCGTCTGGCAGAGCATCCCCAGGTGAGACGCTTGGCTGTCTCTCTCGGTTGACTGACGATTCATGCGGCAATCTCAAGACCAATTGGGCACGTATGCAAATGTTTGGCGGGAGGGGGCAGTGGGGAGGAGGATGGAAGTATTCAGAAAACGGCATCAACAAATCACCGAGGGAACGCGATCCACCGCCGTTGGCCTGTGCGAGTTCTATATAGACATGGAAGGTAAGAAACCAACGCGCCGCTCCCCCCTCCCCCCGCGAACAATCCGAAGGAGGGGAGGGCGAGAACAGAGGAGGCCCTCCCTGCCCCTGAACTTCCCCCGCCCCAACCCGCCCCCCCTCCACGAAGAACAGGAAAATCCGGTCCCGCCCCCCGTCCAGACCCCCCCCCCCCGGACAATTGTTCGAGGGCCCCCCCCCGGGCAACGACGACGACGACGTCGCCACCAGCAAGCGACGCGGATGACAACGACGACGGCGACGATGACGACGGATGATGACTACGACAACGGCGACCACCACCACCACGACGGAGACGACGAAACGACGACGACGCGTACGACGACGCCTTTGACGACTGTCGCTGCTGCCCGCGCAAGGCGCCTGCTCTGATAGAGATCTACTAAGGCTCGATCCACCCCTGAAATGATCCTATTAGCCTTCGCTCCACCTCCAATAGAACCCTACTGGGGCTGGAGCCAACTCCAAACGAGGTGGATTCAACTATAATCGAATCGTTTCCGGGCTGGGTCCAGCTCTGATCGTTTTTTTTTGTGGTTCGATCCAGCTGTAACAGAATCCTGCTAGGAGGGCCGGATCCAGCTCCAATGAAATTTCGTTCGGGTTCGATCACGTTCAAACAGTGTTACAGAAGGCTGTGTCTACTTCTTCTCGAATCCTAGCAGGGCTGTGCCCAGCTCTGGTGGATCGATCCAGCTTTGTTGGGCCCACTGGGTGTCAATCGAGGCCGCCACGGGCGCCCATCGGGCCAAATCCTGACATTCCAGCCGAAGCACAGAGCGACGACGACGAGGCGGCGACGGGCGCCCACCGCGTGGAACGCCAGAGATACCAGCCGATGTCTCAGAAGCGGGCCAAGGACACAGCACTCGGTTGGGATAGTAGAGACCTGCAGACATATATATCTATATATATATGTAGTCAATACATACGCGACATGTGTGTTGACGGATGGAATAGCAGCATGCAGTTGCAAGAGCACGCACACATATATATATATATATATATATATATATATATATATCCGCCGGCCCCCTTGTGGGGCCACCAGGCTGTAGGCCCGCGATTCGCAGTTTCCTGTGCCAGTTGTAGTTTGTAGTTTCCAGTGTTACAGTTCTGCTTCTTG